TAATATTTCACCTAAAACTAATGGTAGCAGGAAAAAATCCCCCGAGAAAAAATCCCCCTGGAAAAAATCCCCCTGAGAAAAAATCCACCCGGAAAATATCCCCCCCCCCCCCCCAAAAAAAAAAAAAAAAAAAAAAAAAAATTTTATTAAAAATTATCAATAAAATAGTTATATTTATTTATTTTAAATAGTTTCAAAAAATACTTCATTTTTTATCAAAATGTCAAGGTATGCGCTATTCCTCCGTTGTCGGTAAAATGCGAACTGCGAACCACGAACTGCGAACCGGTAAAATGCAAACTTTTTTGCAAACCAAAATGGGGAGAGATTTTATCCGGGGGGATTTTTTCTCGGGGGATTTTTTCCTAGAACCAAATTAATAATTATTTATTTTTAAAACATTATTTAAAATGTTTTGACGTGCGAAGTGTCATTAAGCTGATCTGCTTTAATGATATAAGCTTTAAATAAGTTAAGCAATTAAAGTTAAATTAATTGATTATTTGAAAAAAAAAATTGGAAATATAATAAACTTTTAAAATACTTTTATAGCCATAAGCAGAGGCGATTTTACGGTGTGTGTTAGTGTGTATATATATGTGGGTGTGTGTGTGTGTGTATGTGTGTGTGTGTTTGCCCTCCCCCAAAGGAGGTGATTTTCAAGTTATGGTCGGTTTTTTACGAAGAATTGCCTCTGGTCAAGTTATGGTCGGTCGGTTTTTTATGAAGAATTGCCTCTGGTCATAAGTTGACTAAAATGGGACAAAAAAAAAAGAAGAAAAAATGTTTGGTTGTTAAAACACTTGTTATAAATAAAATGCCAATATTTTTTTAAATCATGTCAAACATACAGAATAAGTTGTAATGTTCTGAAGACAGAAAATATGAAACACATTTAAAAAAAAAATTATGAAATTATAAAAGGACGATGAACTTTATTATTTATTTATATTTATGTTTTTTTATATCAGTTTTTAATAAAATGAAATAAAAAAGCAATTAGAATTTAAACGTGAATATCTTTAACACGACTAAAAATTATCCACAAAATCTTAATATAATAATTTCTTTAATTGCTTTATATGTCAAATAATGTTAAGCAGAACTTCCATCACCTACTTGTCTTTCAAACTTTCCACTCATAATACTCATAATACTTTAAAATAAGAACAAATTATATAGCTAATAAACAATTAAGTTAAATATATATAGCAATATGAAATATATACAGAGATGTATTTGAATTTTTGGCGCCCTGGGGCACTGTTCCTTTAAGCCCCCTTTTTTAAGAGAAACTGCTAACTTTTATATGGGTTGATTATTAAAAAACAAAAACATTTTCTATACAAACATATATAAGTTATATTAATCACTATAGAAAATTATAATTTTCTATGTGAGTTTTGTTTTGCAAATGTATTTATAATGTCATTAAAGTTCATATCTATGGTAAGTGCAGATTCTATAGATAGAATTGATAACCTATTAAGACGATCACTTGTCATTCGCGACCTTAAATAAGATTTAACCCTTTTTAATACCGTAAATGATCTCTCGGCTGAATAAATTGGACGTTGGGCAGCATAGATATATTCTTAATGCTGTATCTACATAAGGAAACAACTCTTAAATTTTTTCAATTCTGATCATTTTATAAATATCTATTATAGTCTTAGGTCTTACGTTTTCATTTAAACTCATTAAACAACTTCTGAATTGTATACACTCGTTAGCAAATGAAGGCGAAAGATCATTTTTATATACATTTTGAAGTACTTCTGCTTTTTTGTAAATTTCTGATGGCGAAAGTTTTATGATTTGAAATAAAAAGTTAAATTTTTTATTGGCTTCATCATAGCAAAATTTTCTTTTTTCTAGTTCAGAATGAAGTTTATCAACTATAGCATAATATGTATTAATTCTTAAAGAGTCTCGAATTTCAAAATTTGTTTCTTTTTCTTTTCAGAAAAAATTCAGAAGCATAAATACAACAGTCCACAGCGCATTCACCAACAAGAGTGCGCTGAGCATGGTACAAATGTTGCTAAAGGATTGACTATTTTAATGCGAGCTTGAAGTCCTGTGTATCTACCAGACATATTAGGCGCATTGTCGTAACTTTGACCACGACAATTGTTAATTTCTAATCCATGCGATTCTAAAACTAATTTAGAATTAAATTAGTTTTAGAATCGCATGGAAAATTCACAACACCACATTTTGTGGTGTTGTGAATTTTCATAAAGCTTGATTTTTTTTCCAATCTGAAAAACCAACTGTGGCAAACGATGCAGTGCCACCAAATAAATAGCAGGGAGCACAAAATATTGATCCTTCACTTTCTAAGTAAACCAAAAATGTCCGGTTAATTTTTTCACCATTAACAAGAGTAGATACAAAAATACCTTTTGACAAATATCGAAAACGAGTACGTCTTACCCCACCAATTACTTGAGTGTATATTCTTTTTCAATTTCGGAAATTATTGTTCTCTAAATTCTGGTTAAATCCATTGATTGATAAATAATCTATCGTTTCTTGATTTTTTATTTAATTGGCAGGATCATTTCTAAAGAGAAAATATATTTTTTTAATATACAAAAACCAAAAAATATTATTCACAGTTTATAACAAATTTTATAAAAAAAATTCTACAAAAAACATTCAAGCATTAGATAATAGAGATAAATGCATAATATAATTTAACTAGAGGATTTAGGTATCATTTAAAATGTACATAGTGAACTATACTTATTAATAATTTATTTTCTTACATAGTTTTACCAAACAAGCAACTTAAAAAACAGTCTACCTATGTACATGTTTGTAATTGTAACCTACCACAAAAAAAATTAAAAAAAGCTTACTCAGGAACAATACATTGTTTAAGAATACTGTTATGTTCAACCATTAGCAAACGTGGTGTATCATTTATTTCTTCCGATTCTGTAGACAATAGAGTTTTACTCGTTTCTGTACTGATGTTATTTAATAATATGTTATTAAATACGAATGGTTTTCTAGCTAAATAAACTTACTTGGCGATGCGTGAGGCTGTTTATCTGTAAAGTAATGTTTCAAACTTGGCAGTCTTTAAAAGTATTTTCGCTTGAGCTTCATTTTTTGCATGAGTTAGTTTTCGGTTTTATGCACCACTCAATTTTTTACAATGAACTATCATCGCTTTTTAAAATAACAATCCTAAAAGGTGTGTATTATTATAAGTTTATCCCATTATGCAATAAGCATAATATTGAATAATATTAAAGATTATATAAAAAGCTCACTAGGCTTAGTTGGCCTAGTGAACCAAGTGAGCTTAAATACAATAAATACAAATTATATATGATAACAATAATGTTAATGCTCAAACTAAAAACAATAATCGAAATACAAATATTTATCTTTTTCAAGACTGTATACTGTAATACAAGGTATTAAACAGAAAACTTACTGAAGAGCAAAATAATAAGACCAACAATAAAAAAAACTGACAACAATCTTAAAAATCCCAAACTATAATGTGCACACGTGGTATATACAAGATGGTTAGCAAAAGGCAATAGCTAATTTAATATAATTAATGCGTAATTTATTCGGCTTATCACTTCAAATTATATAAAAATAAAATAAAAAACAAACTGATTATTTTAGCACAAAGTTTATTGAAAGTTTAAAGCATTTTTAAAGAGTTTTTTTTTAGAAAATCTAAAGACAATCTTTGAGAAACTATTTTATTTTTTAAAACTCATTAGCTGTGTCTATACCTAAGTGTTTCCGTTAATAAAGTTAATTAAGCTTAAAATGAAAATAATAGGTAAAACCTATTGTAGGAGTAGATCTCGGAACGCCAGCGCCAGAGTTATGAGCTTATCCATAACGCAACCGCTTCATACAATTTGTATATTTATAATTATTAAATAATTTGTTTTGACACGGTAATTTTAGTATTAAATCAACGTTTTTGAATGATTGGCGCATAATTATGGAAAATTTGCAAGTTTAATTTGATCGCCTTTTGAGTAATATTTTTTTCTGCTAAACAAATTGTTTTAAAATAAACTAGAGATATTTGGTAAGTCTTTAAATAGGTCTATGATTTGAACATAACAATGATATAAAAATTTTCGTGAAATAATATAAATATTCTATTTTACAGTTTTCTAAAATTCTAACATGCTGAAAGCTGGCGCCCTGTCAAAACACGGCGCCCGGGGGCCAAAGCCCCCCTGGCCCCCGCTTAAATACGTCTCTGAATATATATAAATATATTAAATAGCTGAGCAACAAATTAAACTGTACAAGTAGGTACAGTTTAATTTGTTGCTCAGCTATTTAATATATTTATAGTAGTCATTGCCGTCTTAAGTAGCATGGGCTTCTAAAATACAAAATAATCTAGATTTTTAAATCAAACAATTATTTTAATGATTGATAAACTTTATAAATATAAAAAAAGCAATAATTGTTATAAAGTTTATAAGTTCTATTTTTATAAGGAAATAACCTTTTCTTTAGCAGGGGGTGGGGTTGTACAGTTTATTAAAGACCTTTTATAAATTAACGCAATCTTTATTTAAATATAAGAATTTAGGCAACAGGTTTAAAAGCGCATTTAAAAACATAAAAAAAAAACTGGTACTTAATTGTCGAAACTTGATCGTTTTAAAGTTAGAAAAACTAATAAACACAAAATAAATGATTTTATGTTGGTTAAATAAATAAGGCTCCCAAAATATAATAACTAAAAGGTTAAAATCTAAGATTATAATCTTAGAATCATAAAATTAGTCCTTTAAAACCAACCAATGGCAGTGTGAAAAAAATATTTACAATTACTATTGGTTTGTTTTAAACAATCATTTAGAACTCAAAAATCGATTGGTTAATAACTGTTAAATATTTCCGATTTCAAAGTTTCCGATTGTTGGAATGCGGATACTTACGATAATCTATTTTACATGGTATTAAGCCTCAAAAATGCAGTAATAACTGTTTTGCAAATTTAGTAATACATTGAATTTCTTCAAAATAATAGCAGTTTGGAGCTACACAAATTACTTTATAAACTTTAGCTGAAGCTAGTAAGTGAAAATTATGGAATTAAGGAATCCCTCAGATCAAGCAAATATTTTCGACGAAGGTAATATTTCTATAGTTGAGTAAAAAATATTACGTGAGCTTTTTTGCAGTAATTAAATATTAAATTGGAAACGTCAATACTAAAACAAAACTTCATTGTTTTTTTTTGGACTATCAATTATGTTTATAAGAGTTTTAATTTTAGTGTCTAAAATACACGACCTATTATGTTTTTAGAAAATGTGATTTAAAAAAACCAATCATGTTTTAAGTAAAAGTTTATCAGCTAAAACAACAAATCCAATTTTTGAGATAAAGTGCAGCGCGTGCCGATAGTAATGATTTTTCAAATTAACTTTGTTCCAATTTATATTCGTTTTTTTTTCAAAAATCTTAATTGTTTTCGGAATCGTAAGAACTTTTTTTTGTACATAATATGTTTCAAATACTAGTTACATAATTTTGCATAATGCCAGAGGCAATTTTACGGAGCTGTGTGTGTGTGGAGGGGGGGGGGTAAGGGGTTCCAGCCCCCACCCCCACCCCCCAAAGAAAGTGATTTTCAAGTCAAGTTATAGTCGGTTTTTTTACGAACTTAGTCGGCTAGTCGGGTATTTGACACAATTCTGTCGAGTAAATTTTCGTTTTGAGGACCTTTTTTTTTTTAAGGAACCAATCGGTACTTTATAAGGTTTTACCCCCCCCCCCTCCCTATTTTATTTGTAGAATCGCCTATTCATGCTAATGCATAATACTTATTTCCTTTTGATTCCATTTACTTTAAATGCAAAATACTTTGTATTTAAAGTGAAATATCTTTTTAACAGAGTACAAAAACACTGTTGGGTAAAAAAAATGTATTGAGTATTAGTATTGGCATTTGTGACATTTGAAATTCTCATTATGTTTTAGATCTAAGCTAATAGTCGTTATAAAATTTAGTGGTGAGAAAGAAGGGAAGGAAGAATGACATTTTTAAATTGCCAGATGTAGTTTTGATGCTAAATGTCAGAAAACATATTTAATTTTAGTTATTTGATTGACAATCTTGCAGAAAATTAAAGAAAATAGAACACCATCCGCTAACATTTTGAATCCACTGAGCTAGTATCTTAAATCCACTTAGCTAGTCTCTTAAATCCACTGAGCTAGACTCAGTGTCAGATGGAATTAAATTTAAAATCGGCCTTCTTGGAATATTTATAAATTACAATTTTCTGAAATATTTCAAATGCAAAAATGGTTTTCAAGCGTTTGTTAAGTGTACACCACTTTTAAGAATTTTTGAAGTGTTTTTTATTCATTTCATTATTAATAAAAATTTCAAAGATATTTTTCTAACCTCTATGCAAAAAACGGGTTAAGATGATAAATGAGACAAACAATGGCTTTTCATGTAACAACACATCAACTAAATTAAAAAATATATTTTTAATTTAGTTATATTTTGAAGCACCAATAGGTTTTTTAAATATTGTCAAAGTAACTTTATATGCACAAGTTTTTTGATTATGATTGATGATGATTTTGATTGATGTCCTGGATCGTTAGGGCCGTAGACGCATAAACTTTAGGCTGTAAATGGATATTTAATGTAAATGGAATATTTAGAATAACAAATATAAAGTTTAGGATTGTTTTTGCTTTGTTAAAGCTTATTTACAATATTGGTTAAATTTAAATTTAAAAAATTAAAGTACACTTTCTTTTAAAGTTAAAGCATTCTTGCTGCAGAGACTTCTATTTATACTTCACAGAACCTTTCGACGACATTTGCTTTCATAAAAACGATCAATAAGATCAATAAAACTTTACTTTTTCATTTCACTTTCAATGTGTTGGATTGAATATTTTTTCTCAGCTGTCTCTGTAGTTTATGTACCTTTTACCATATATATATATATATATATATATATATATATATATATATATATATATATATATATATATATATATATATATATATATATATATATATATATATATATATATATATATATATATATATATATATGTTTTGTTTTTTTATAAGAACTAGTTGATAAGAAACTAGTACGAGAAAATTTAGTAATTTTTCAATCTTATTAAGAATTTTAAGTAAATTAACGTATTAATAAAATTTCCGTATCATTTAATGTCTTGCATATTTATTACATTATTGCGCCCTCTTTGTTAATAATATTATTGCATATTGGATTTAATCAAATTTTTTTTCTTCATCATAACAATTCACGTCTTAGTAATACGAGAATTGTTTTTAAGAAGAAAAAAATTTGATTAAATCCAATAAACATCTTTAAAACAACCTTATTTGTCATGTTTTTTCAAAAGTATTATAACAAAAAATACACTATAGCATAAACTAAAATACAATAGAACAACTATTTAAAATTTCTGTTAAATTTCTCATTTTAAAAACAAAGATAAAAAAAATCAATTAAAAAAGCAATCACATCATGTTGTAATTCAAATTACTTTATATTTTAAAACTTTACGTATGAACAAAATCGCGCGCTTTCTTTTAAAACCAATCATCTTAGATTTAAGATAACTTTCATAAAATAAAAAATTAGATCCTGAATGATAAAATGACCTCTAAAAATAACAAGGTTCGATTTTAACATCGATTTAAAAACATCGATTTTAAAATGCCCTCAACTTTTGCGTTAGCCTCAAAAATGTAAGAAAATACATTGCGCAGTCTCGAAGATTTGAGACTGCGCAAAGATATATGACTTATCTTATATAGATATAAAATAACTATATCGAATAAGCCTAAACTATTTATCATGTATTTAAAATATGTAAACTATTTAAAAAATAATGCGCTAATAATAACCCGAGTAATAAACAATATCTGAGCAAGTCTATTTACAATATGTAAACTGTGAAAACAATATTGCCCCAAGATTAGTAGAAATACATATTGCTTGCTGCTCTCAAAATTAAAGTTTATTTTAAAATATATTTTCATTTTCTAATACTAGTATTATACTGCAGAAAATTTTTTCTTACATTTTTGTCATTGAAACATTTTCTTCTAAAATTTTATTTTTTGCGTTGTTGATTTAAAATTTTACATTCTAAAATTTTAACTTAACTCCTTGCGTGTGAACAGGAAAATATAAAACCATAGCACAATCCGGGGTTATTTCTAGCTCGTTGATATTCTTTTGAGTGGTTAAGGTGGGTTAAAGCGCGTTCAAATGTCATTTAATACATACAAGTTTAAATTTAAAAAATTGTATGTTCTAGAAATTTAAATTAGAAAGTATGTATATTGACTTAAATGTTTCACGAAGTTTTTAAAATATGAGTTCTATGTTTATTTGAGTGAAGAAAACATATCGAAAAAGATGGCTTTATGTTACACAAATAGAAACAAAGTTCTCTTTTTTTTCTACTTTGAGCTCTAAACAATTGATACTCCATTTTAAACTGTATTTGTAGCTATCACATCAAATAAAATTTATGCTATCTTTAACATTATGCAAAGTAGACTTGAAAATAATGGCATAAAGTCTTTTTTCTTTTCTTGAAAATAAGTTATAAGCGTTATATAATTATAATGTATAAAAATCAAATTTCGCATTACAATTTTTATGTAGCTTATGTTTAATGTAGTTTTTATCAATTTAAACTTTTAAAATTTATTAATGGATTTAAAGACAGAGTGTTTTGAAGATGACTGCGGAAATTTAGTAATTGTTTTTAAATTAAAAAAGTCTAAGTCTTGATAACAGTGTAGACTTTTCTAAATGGAAGCTCAGTAGCCTTTAATATTTTTTTAAATTATCGAAGAGCTATCATGGTTTTAGTAATTTAAATAAAGAAAAAGTTATTAACGTTTGGAATATTTTAAATCTCCCAGGCAATACCAGAACCCATTGCGCGCTTGGTGATTTTAAAGTTATCAAATTTCGTCTATTGATAAAACTTTATACTTTAATTTATTTTATATAATAATGTTGTTAAAATGATATTAAAAAATAATAAAAGTACAAGAATAAAAAGATATAATATTATATATTAAAAGAATAAAAAGATATATAATACTAATATTAAAACAAATATATATTAATAGTAATACAAGGATAAAAAGATATATTATTACTAAAACAATAATAATACTTAAAGATAATGTTATTAAATTATCTTCACATAAATTGTATATATTATTTATCATAATAGGTATTAAAAAATATTTTATTAACTGTAAAAAAAAAAAATTGTATTATACTAATCTATTAGACAAAAATTGTAGATATCTCGTAAGCATTATCTATTATAATATAATAGATAATGCTTAAATAGATAATATATAATAACATTATCTTTGTATAATAAATGTTTTATTAATATTATATTATAATATTTTAGTAATATTATCATGGAAAATAAGTTCTTGTATAAAATTTATTATGTAAAGCACAAGATCAAAAAAAATGAGAAAGGAAAATCTTTTCTAAATTATTAAAAATTTTTTTTTACAAATTTCTTTAACTTTTATATTAAATTAATAAATAAAAAAAAGGATAAAATATTAGTTTCGAAAATTTGTAAAAAATAGTTATATAACTGGTATGGTGGCAGTGGCGTAACTACTGTGGAGCAGTTAGAGCAAATGCTCCAAGCGCACAAAAATTTAGAGCGCAATTTTTTTTTTTCTGTTCTTTCTTTCATTAATCCTGGAGAAATCTATAAGGATCTTGTCATCTCTAGCGCTCACAATCAGAAAGTCTGGCAGAACCTTCATCCAATTTATGTAATTACTTAAACTGTGCGAGTTAACCTGCGGGATTCAAATCCATTTTGCTGGAGAACATAGCTTTCAACGAAATACCGCATAATAATCTTTATCTAAAGTTATCCAATCACATTCCACTTTATAAAATATCCAATAATATATTTTAAAAATCATCAGAATCAATCAAAGCATTGCAAACAAAAGAAAAAAGTTCAGAAAAATGGGTAAATAATATTTGTCGTTAGTTTAATTTAGTTAATTACTAAATCTATTGTTTACCATTTTTGGCAAAAAACTATTGTTTACCATTTTTG